TGGATCGGAGTCCGGGGATCGTCATCGAGCTGAACGTGTGCTAGAACTCGGAGGTGCCATAGTTTCGGTGCTTGATCGGTCGGGCCGTGGAGACGTACGACTACATCAACCAAGTTAACGCTTCCGTTGTCGATCTACAAGGGTACGTAGATCACACTCTCCCCCTCTCGTTGCTATGCATCACCATGATCTTGCGTGTGCGTAGGAATTTTTTTGAAATTACTACGAAACCCAACAAATATAGAGTGACTCTGATATAGTGCTGATTTTTTCGTGCATTCCACCGAATACCGCACCTCCGCATCTCGCGTCGCCTTGCTAGTGTTCGAGCTCCCGCAGAGCTCACCGCCTGGGTCGGGATCCGCGTCGCCTGCGCCACTGCTAGGAGGACCGCCGCCGCCAACAGCGCCTGCTTTCGCCGGAGTAGCCATCTGCCTACACGACGAGAGGAGGGGAGAGAGCGGCGGGAGAGTGGGGAAGAAGGCAGACGCGAGGAGGGGAGAGAGCGGCGGCACGAGAAGAGGGGGAGAAACGAACGGATGGGGGATGGAGGCATACGGCGCCGTCAAACGCCGTCTAACGGCTGTCGGGACGGCCGACGGTGCCACGTATGCAAAAAAGGGCCCCACCTGTCATAAACAAGCTTAACTGACCCCGATCCGCCGATCAGTGCTTTATGCAAAAAGATTACGGAAGACATGGTGTTTTCTGCAAAAAAAATGTATTGTAGTGGTTTTCACAAAGCTTGTCTTTAAAGTGGTGGTTTTGTACAATTTACTCTCTGCAGATCGCCTGGTGAAGATGAGTGCGAGCAAGGAGGATATGCAGCTGGAGATTGGATTAACTATCGTGCATGGGAGGTCCCATGCACGGTCCAGCCATTGATTGCTATGCCGTGATTCGTGCTAGACAGTGCAACTTACCCATATTTCTTTTCATATGATTCAAAGACTGTATCAATTTTATCTTTTGAACACGAAGTCAGATTTATCACCTGGTTGCACATTTGCATTTCTCGTAATGAAACCTTCCAAACAAATCAATCTTGAATATATTTTGATAAAATTTAAAATTTAGGTTCTAAAACATGATGAAACTGGTAAAAAAACATGATTTTTTTAGAAATTTAGGAAAAAGAAAAAAATCTTAAAAAATCGAACAAACCTGACCTACTGGCGTACTCTTATAAAACTTTTGACAAAGAACTCCCTAAAAAATTTGAGTAGAAAAAATAATTTTTCCAAGACAATATAGAGTGACTCTGATATAGTGCTGATTTTGTTTTCTTCGCCAACAATACCACGAAAGGCTTTTCTTCGCAAAAAAAAAACGTGTGCGTAACACTTGAGCAAGTTTGTTGTAAAAATAATCATGATTTTTCGACCATTTTCACTATATATTTCAGAGTTTTATCGTGTCTCAGATTTTAAAACTGTCCAAATGTATCCAAGGGTGGTCTTATTTCAAAGTATTAATCGCAAGGAACACACGGACACAAACAGATTATAAATTAGACTTTTGATTCAATAGATAAATAAGATTCAAACTTCAAAATCAAATGAAGAAGACATGGGTGAGTGGAGTACTATGAAAGAGAGAGATTGACTCAGGCATGGGACCCATGCACGGGGCCTCCCGTGCATGGTAGAATCTCTTTTCTCTATGCAGCTGGGCTTTTTAGGTCTCACGCCCGTTGTTGTAATCGTTTTTTCCCTGTAATATGTAAGCTCGCCGTGCTTTTAACCCCTCCATGGCACTAAGGCCACCCGGAGACTAGGCGGAGCCAGCGGGAGGAGGAGAAAACTTAAGCTTGGAAGAGGAGGCAGCACTAAAAATTGTGCCTCTTTTTTTTAATAAAATACGGTAGGGGCAACCCCTTTCTTTTCAAAAGAAAATCCGTGCAAAAAATAAAGAGATCGTGAAGCATCGATGCTCCCCTGATGTTCTAAAAAAAGAAGAAGAAGTCAATAGATATATGAGCCACGTACGAAAATGAAAAAAAATTGCGACGCCTGAGAGATTCGAACTCTCGCGGGGAAACCCCATGTACTTAGCAGGCACACGCCTTAACCACTCGGCCAAAGCGTCGCTTGTTGTTCTAGCACCTACTTCTCCCTCAAAAATGGTTGTGATATCTAAACCCAACTCGCTCCCTGAAATCCCACCACCAGCCAAGGCCCCAAGAAACAGCAGTCAGACCATGGACGGCGGCGGAGGCGTGAGGCCATCGCTCCCGTCCGCGGCGGCGGGAGGAGCCTCCGGCGCGGACGAGCCTCGCGACGCGCGCGTGGTGCGGGAGCTCCTCCGCTCGATGGGGCTCGGCGAGGGCGAGTACGAGCCGCGCGTCGTGCACCAGTTCCTGGACCTGGCCTACCGCTACGTCGGGGACGTGCTCGGCGACGCCCAGGTCTACGCCGACCACGCGGCCAAGCCCCAGATGGACGCCGACGACGTCCGCCTCGCCATCCAGGCCAAGGTCAACTTCTCCTTCTCCCAGCCGCCGCCGCGCGAGGTACGTTTTCTTTTTTTCCTTTTATTGTAGGAATTTTGGAGTACCATCAATCTCACCAAAAACCCTAGAGTATATCTTCGTTAGATTCGGACAAATTACCAGGTCCCGTAGCTTCATTCATTTGGTGAATGACGAGGATAAGGGGCCACTTTAAATTCTAGATCGAGGAGCGGCTTTCCTGTGAACCTATCAGATTCGGAGGGAGTAATGTTGTGGACTCCGATTGGGAAAAGAATAAGCACAGTAGAGGATGCGCCGATGTGTCGCGGATTCAGTTCAGTGAGTTCATATATGGTTCTTGGCTGAGAGATATTTTGGGGAAAATATAAATTTCAAATAAGGGTCAGCTTATCGATTAAATGAATGCATTCCACAATAAGAACACATCAATCAAAGTTTCAGACATGGTGGTTAGAAGCAGCCATCTGCAACCAAGGAATTGCGGTTTTGAGTCCTTCAGCTCACGAAATGTCATTTTGTCTACACTCGTAGCCATCCAGGGTACCAGCATATCAGTCAGTGTTATACTGAAATTTCAGGAAAACATATGAGGGAATGTGGGATTCGAACCCAGAACGTCTCGAGTAGAACTCTCAAGTCTCAACCCTACCGCTAGGGCCAAGATGAGTGCTGTATCCTTTAGGAAGTTGGACCAAACTTTTGCCAATCTGGTGGGCAACCAGGAAGTGCTGAGATTTAAATCCATGGGTGAAGCTCGTAGCAAATGATGCAAGGATAGTTAAGTTGGGGCAGAAGATCGACCTCCAATTTAGTCCATGTCTTGTTAGGAATGTTCAGCTGAGCCCATATCTTGTTTGGAAAGTTGGATGCTTATCTGCTTAAGGGTCCAAAATCTTAGAATCATGTGCAACTATTTCCATACACACAATGCAACCTTAGTGCAGAGATGCTGCTGGTAATGTAGCAGCCTCCTGACTGTTGGAACTGGAAACAAGACTACTCAGTTTCTTGATGAGGCTTTACTTATATTATGTACATTATCCATAACTTTCGTTATATTTGGACGCTCTTCATGGCATGGGTTATGTCGAATAACCACATAGAAAGGGATCATCTGTTAGGGCCTCTTGACCGGAGGGTATGCCTGAGGCCAGGAGGCGCTAGAGGGCTGATGAGGTATCGACGAGGAGGCACTGTCGCCAGCGCAGATCAGAAAGGTAACTTGGTAGTTGGGAATAGAAATTAGGGGAAGACTTCTCGATTAAATGAATGCATTCCCACATCAACCAAAGCTTCAGACATGGTGGTTAGAAGCTACTATTCGCAACAGCAGAGATTGTGTTTTTGAGTAATTGAGCTTACAAAATGTTGTTTCATGTACACTTGTAGTCATTCGAGGGACCAGCATATCAGTCAGTGTTATACTGAAATTATAAGGAAAACATATGAGGGGAATGTGGGATTTGAACCCAGATTCATCTCAAGTAGTACTCTACCACTCTACCACCAGGACCAAGATGACTCCTTTATCCTTTAGGAAGTTCGAACCGACCGAACTTTTGCCAGTTTGGTGGGTAACCAGGGAGTGGCGACATTTAAAGGTGCAGATAGTAGCAGATGATGCAAGGAGAGTCCAGTTGCGGCAGAAGATTGACATTCAGTTTAGTCCATGTCTTTTTAGAAATTTGCAGCTGAGCCTATGTCTTGTTAGGAATGTTAGCTGAGCCCATGTCTTGTTAGGAATGTTCAGCTGAGCCCATGTCTTGTTTGGAAAGTTGAATGCTTATCTGCTTAAGGGTCCAAAATCTTAGGAATCATGTGCAACTAGTTCCATATACACAATGTAACCTTTGAGAACCAAGCAAGATGTAAATAACCTCTTCTGTTAGCGCAGAGATCCTGCTGGTACTGTAAGCAGCCGCCTTTACTGTTGGACATGGAAACAAGAATACTCGTTGTCTTCATTAGTTGGCTTTACTCTTTAGATATATTATGTGTACGAACATCATATGATTCTTAATGTGTATGAGGCTGGCACATGAAGATACACCTAAAATGTTATGAATCATATTAGGTAGATATTAGGGTCGTGCACAAGTCTACTCACTTGCGTGTTAGTAGCTGCTAGGTGCAACTAAAGAAGATATTGCATAGATAAAGGCTATGAACAACTTTGTGGTTATGCTTTGAAGTTAAGTGCTTGTTTTACGCGTTATCAGATCCCATGAAATTTAAATCTGACACAAAATAGTCTATAATTATATGCCTAGGTGGATGACAAGTCATTCCCCACATAACATTCCGTAATGTCGGTTAGCTGCCAATTCACTGATGCACTGGTGCCTCCACTCCCACCCCTCCAATTCTTTGGGAACAGGCTACATATAGTGTTTTTTTTTGCGGGTACAGGCTACATATAGTAGAAACCAATGTTTTGGAATGCATGGCCAGACTTTTATAGAAACACGAAACGAACAGGGTATGATTCTTATTTGTGTACGAGGCTGGTATCTGAAGATTATGTAAAATGTTGATGAATCATATTAGTAGTACAAAGATATTAGAGATTGAGGGTCATGCACAAGTATACTCCCTTGCATGTTAGCTGCCAGTGCCTTCAACTAAATAAGGTCTTGCGTAGATAAAGGGCTATGAGCAACTCATGTGGTTATGCTTTGAAGTCAAGTGCTTGTTTTATGTTTAATCAGATCCCTGGAAATTCAAGTTGACACGAAGTACTCTATATGCATAGGTTGATGACAAGTCATTTTCTGATGTTACACAGGTTCTACTCGAGTTGGCACGCAGCCGGAACAAGATCCCTTTGTCCAAGTCTATAGCTCCACCCGGCTCGATTCCCTTGCCACCCGAACAGGACACATTGTTGAGTGAAAACTACCAACTCCTACCTGCATTGAAGCCGCCAACTCAGACCGAGGAAGCAGAAGATGACAATGAGGGAGCCGGCGCAAGCCCTACCAATCCTAATCCAAACTATCCGCAGAATCAGAGGGGCAGCGAGCAACACCAGCCTCAGAGCCAGAGGGGGGTTTCTTTCCAGCTGAATGCGGTGGCCGCCGCAGCTGCAAAACGTTCTCTAGTGACAGTTGATCAGTTGAACATGGGCTAACTAGCTGTAGATCGTTGGCTGGTTCCTAGTGCTTGCTCCCGCAAGCCTGCTTGCTGATGCTTGTGTAGCTGCTGGGATGACCCTCCTATTTCACCATGAAAACTGCCGATTGTTGAGGAAAGGGAGCAGCCTTGCATGTAGTGTAAGTTGTAGCCGTGTACCTCTCTGGTTAATTAATTCCTGTCCATTATTTGTCAACTTATGGATTTTGTTGAACTTGGTCTGTTCCGTCGTTGTTTCGGACTGCGAAATCAGTGTTCCTACTGCGACTGTTCCTATCATGTTTTTGATGGCATGTACTCCCCCTATAAACTAATATAAGAATGTTTAGATTACTAAAATAGTGATCTAAACGTTCTTATATTAGTTTACGGAGAGAGTAGCACATATTTGGTTGGTTAAAATGAGGACCTAAACATGTAGAGATAAATATGTACTGTCAGATGCACCCATTTTTTTATCAGGAATTTGCTGATATCTTTTGTGCGTGTAGCATGGAACACTTGTTGATAAATAAAAATGAAAACAACAAAGCCCGTCTAGCTCAGTTGGTAGAGCGCAAGGCTCTTAACCTTGTGGTCGTGGGTTCGAGCCCCACGGTGGGCGCTTTGTGTATTTTTTTTACTCTCCAGGAATCCAGTTTTCATATGCAGTGCATGAATGAATGATGATGGATGGCCATTGCACTACAAATAGCCCATGGTTACTTTGAGATTCATTTTACTTTTCTGGTTGTTGTCCAAATTTATCTCGTTCCAAAATGTTTTGCTCGGTTTTTGTCTTGTTTCAACGTGTAGCACCATGTGACACTTGTTTTGGATCAGGTTTGCTAATATGCGATGATACACAATGAAACACTAAAGGACACTTTGGAACAGGAAGAAAACCTAATGTAACACTTTGAAACAAGACAAAATCTAAAAACAATCACACAATTAGCACTAATCTCAAAAGCAAACATGGATGATGGATCATTCCCGGAATATCCCGTGCACGCTTGAATTGTATTTCTCCGCGTCAAATGTTGTAAACATACTGCTTTTAAATGAAATGATTCAGATGGTGGAACTTCTTCCCCTTGAATGTCAGAAAAAAAGTTTTTTTAGTGAAATGATCCAGGTGGTGACCCCCCCCCCCCTCCCATTGAAAATTGAAAAATAAAATAAAGGGTAAGATCGTCCAACAACTTTGATGATACCTTCCTCTTCCTCTTGTTAGAGCATCCCTAGACTCTAATCGATCCTCCCAAAATTATATTTGGGACATGAATTTTCTGTTTAAAGAATTAAGACCCATCTTTTATATCTCTTATTTTCTTTAATCCCTCAAAAAGTAACTTTTCACCCCCACAAAACTTTCCCCTATGTCTCATTTTTCTCTAAGAAGAGCACTACTCAATAGAAAGAATAGGGAGACTGCTCCGTCCCACATTCATGGCCTGGTGACCGGTGCGCTGACCAATTGGCCCGCCTCTGACTATAACCCACCCCTCCAAACCATAGCCTACCCCGCCGCTCATCCATTTTCACTATCGGCGCTCGGCCACTCTGGCCTCTCGAGGCTTGCACCACCTTTGTGGCACCGCCACCGCCTTCTTGTGCGGCTCACCACCTTCCCCTCTAGCTCATGCCGTTGTCCGGAGCTGTTGCCTCCTTCACTGAGCGCCTATGCAGCCGATCATGTCACAGCCGCCGCCGCTGTCGAAGTACCACGACGTGAGGCTCTAGTCGTGGGGCAAGTGGGTGACGATCTGTAACCCGGACGCGGGGGCGCAAGTGTGTCTTGGCATGTTTGCACGCGGAGGAGGTTGTCTGCATGCGTCGACACTGTTTTTTTTTATTCTCCAGGAATCCAGTTTTCATATGCAGTGCATGAATGAATGATGATGGATGGCCATTGCACTACAAATAGCCCATGGTTACTTTGAGATTCATTTTACTTTTCTGGTTGTTGTCCAAATTTATCTCGTTCCAAAATGTTTTGCTCGGGTTTTGTCTTGTTTCAACGTGTAGCACCATGTGACACTTGTTTTGCATCAGGTTTGCTGATATGCGATGATACACAATGAAACATTAAAGGACACTTTGGAACAAGAAGAAAACCTAATGTAACACTTTGAAACAAGACAAAATCTAAAAACAATCACACAATTAGCACTAATCCCAAAAGCAAACATGGATGATGGATCATTCCCGGAATATCCCGTGCACGCTTGAATTGTATTTCTCCGCGTCAAATGTTGTAAACATACTGCTTTTAAATGAAATGATTCAGATGGTGGAACTTCTTCCCCTTGAATGTCAGAAAAAAAGTTTTTTTAGTGAAATGATCCAGGTGGTGACCCCCCCCCCCCTCCCATTGAAAATTGAAAAATAAAATAAAAGGGTAAGATCGTCCAACAACTTTGATGATACCTTCCTCTTCCTGTTGTTAGAGCATCCCTAGACTCTAATCGATCCTCCCAAAATTATATTTGGGACATGAATTTTTTTGTTTAAAGAATTAAAACCCATCTTTTATATCTCTTACTTTCTTTAATCCCTCAAAAAGTAACTTTTCACCCCCACAAAACTTTCCCCTATGTCTCATTTTTCTCTAAGAAGAGCACTACACAATAGAAAAAATAGGGAGACTGCTCCGTCCCACATTCATGGCCTGGTGACCGGTGCGCTGACCAATTGGCCCGCCTCTGACTATAACCCACCCCTCCAAACCATAGCCTACCCCGCCGCTCATCCATTTTCACTGTCGGCGCTCAGCCACTCTGGCCTCTCGAGGCTTGCACCACCTTTGTGGCACCGCCACCTGAAGGAAATATGCCCTAGAGGCAATAATAAAGTTATTATTTTATTTCCTTATATCATGATAAATGTTTATTATTCATGCTAGAATTGTATTAAGTATTAACCGGAAACATAATTCTTGTGTGAATACATAGACAAACTAAAACGTCATTAGTATGCCTCTACTTGACTAGCTCGTTAATCGAAGATGGTTATGTTTCCTAACCATAGACATGTGTTGTCATTTGATTAACGGGATCACATCATTAGAAGAATGATGTGATTGACATGACCCATTCCATTAGCTTAGCACCCGATCGTTTAGTATGTTGCTATTGCTTTCTTCATGACTTATACATGTCCCTATGACTATGAGATTATGCAACTCCCGTTTGCCGGAGGAACACTTTGTGTGCTACCAAACGTCACAATGTAACTGGGTGATTAAAAAAGAGCTCTACAGGTGTCTCCAAAGGTACATGTTGGGTTGGCGTATTTCGAGATTAGGATTTGTCACTCCGATTGTCGGAGAGGTATCTCTGGGCCCTCTCGGTAATGCACATCACATAAGCCTTGCAAGCATTGTAACTAATGAGTTAGTTGCGAGATGATGTATTACGAAACGAGTAAAGAGACTTGCCGGTAACGAGATTGAACTAGGTATTGAGATACCGACGATCGAATCTCGGGCAAGTAACATACTGATGACAAAGGGAACAACGTATGTTGTTATGCGGTCTGACCGATAAAGATCTTCGTAGAATATGTAGGAGCCAATATGAGCATCCAGGTTCCGCTATTGGTTATTGACTGGAGACGTGTCTCGGTCATGTCTACATTGTTCTCGAACCCGTAGGGTCCGCACGCTTAACGTTACGATGACAGTTTCATTATGAGTTTATATATTTTGATGTACCGAAGATTGTTCGGAGTCCCGGATGTGATCACGGACATGACGAGGAGTCTCGAAATGGCCGAGACATAAAGATTGATATATTGGACGGCTATATTCGGACACCGGAAGTGTTCCGGAGAAGTTTTGGATAAAACCGGAGTACCGGGGGGTTACCGGAACCCCCCCGGGGGTTAATGGGCCTCATGGGCCCAAAGTGGAGAAGAGCAGGGGCGGCCAGGGCAGGCCGCGCGCCCCCTCCCCCTCTAGTCCGAATTGGACAAGGAGGGGGGCGGCGCCCCCCTTTCCTTCCTCTCCTCTCTTCCTTCCTCCCCCTCTCCTAGTTGGACAAGGAAAATGAGGGAGTCCTACTCCCGGTAGGAGTAGGACTCCTCCCTGGCACGCCTCCTCCTGGCCGGCCGCCCCTCCCCCTTGCTCCTTTATATACGGGGGCAGGGGGCACCTCTAGACACAAGTTGATCTTGGTGATCGTTCTCTTAGCCGTGTGCGGTGCCCCCCTCCACCATAATCCTCGATAATATTGTAGCGGTGCTTAGGCGAAGCCCTGTGACAGTAGAACATCAAGATCGTCACCACGCCGTCGTGCTGACGGAACTCTTCCCCGACACTTTGCTGGATCGGAGTCCGGGGATCGTCATCGAGCTGAACGTGTGCTAGAACTCGGAGGTGCCGTAGTTTCGGTGCTTGATCGGTCGGGCCGTGAAGACGTACGACTACATCAACCGCGTTGTCATAACGCTTCCGCTGTCGGTCTACGAGGGTACGTAGACAACACTCTCCCCTCTCGTTGTTATGCATCACCATGATCTTGCGTGTGCGTAGGAATTTTTTTGAAGTTACTACGTTCCCCAACACCACCGCCTTCTTGTGCGGCTCACCACCTTCCCCTCTAGCTCATGCCGTTGTGCGGAGCTGTTGCCTCCTTCACTGAGCGCCTGTGCAGCCGATCATGTCACAGCTGCCGCCGTTGTCGAAGTACCACGACGTGAGGCTCTAGTCGTGGGGCAAGTGGGTGACGATCTGTAACCCGGATGCGGGGGCGCAAGTGTGTCTTGGCATGTTTGCGCGCGGAGGAGGTTGTCTGCATGCGTCGACACTGTGCTTTGCTTTTTGAGAGACAAACAAAGCTAAATGATACGTCTTCGATGTATCTATCATTTTTTATTGTTTCATGCTATTATATTACCAATCTTAGATATTTTTATACTATTTTATATCTTTTGGGGAACTAACCTATTAACCCAGTGCCTAGTGCCAGTTGTTGTTTTCTGCTTGTTTTTGGTTTTTCAGAAAAATCTATACCA